CTAGAAATGAAAGAATTTTAGCCCTAAATTGAATGGTTTTACACAGGCAGGTGGGCCTTTCTACAATGTTGAATTAGGAAGGCGAGATGGGAGGATATCCTCAGCTAGCAGGGTGGGTGGGAAATTGCCTCAACCCTCTTTCAATTTGAATCAGCTCAATTTCATGTTTGCTTCTCAAGGTCTTAATCAAACTGACATGATTGCACTTTCAGGTAAACTTTCAAACACCTGCTTCAATTTTTCCTCTTCATTCTCTTTCTAGGTTCTAGTCTTGTTTGGCCAACTCTTTAGACGGTTTGGCTGCTCAAATTGAGAGAGAGAGAGAGAGACATCCCATTTCACCTTAAAATGCAGAGAGAGAGACCCATTTCACCTTCAAATGTAGAAAGAGACCCATTTCACCTTAAAATGGAGAGAGAGACCCATACCATTTCACTTTAAAATGTAGAGAGAGAGACCCGTTCACCATACAATGGAGAGAGAGACCCATTTCACCTTAAAATTAGAGAGAGAGAGAGAAAGAGAAAGAGAAAGAGAAAGAGAGAGGCCAATTTCATGCAAGAGGGTTTACATGGGCTGCAAGTGGTTTGGTTTAATATTAAATAACTTTACGATTTTAGAATAAAATAAGGTTTTCCATGCCATTTTACAACTGGTTTTAAGTTAATCCACCATTAAAATATGGAAGGAGTTGTTATGATTTACTCCTTGATTTCCTTAATGCAGAAATTCTCAAACAAAGATTGCGACTTTAGTTCTCAATTTATTTTATTTACAGAAGTGATTAAATTGTAATTTAGTGCACATGGAATCTAAATTTCTGTTTAGCACAATAAAGGGCATTATTTATAGTGTAGACTGGTGTTTTAAAGCCTAGACTGTGGGGTGGATCATTCATCCCAAGATCAATGTTGGATTGATGGATTGGCGATGCAAATCGATCTGACTCGATAATCTAAAAAATATTAAAAATTTATAAAATAGAATAAAAATTGAAATGGAGATTTATGGAATGGAATCTAGAGGGCCTAAAAAATATCAGATATGATTAAATAAAGTAAAAAAATATAAATGGGGTTTCTAGGAGCGGAAGAGGGTTGAGACCATACCATCTCATAACTACTTTGATCGCGATCAATTCCCATCCAGATAGGTGATTGAGATAAAAAATTGTCAGGTTTTAAAATAGGGTGTGGTTTCTATAATGTTGCAACCTTAAACAATCTAATTACGGCGCACCTCCAAATTTTATCATAACATGTAATTTTGGTGTACAAAATTATTAGGATCATCTCAAAATTTATTTTCATATCTTACTATAAAATTTTAAAATAAAAAAATGGTTAAAATCAAGTAGATCTATAAACATATGAAAATCTTCAAAATAGACGGTCTAGATAATCTGTTGCAAGATGTACTATTTATGAGACGCAAAATCTTTTTTTTATAAATTTATATATCTCGATATCGAGATGATCAATTAGATAGTTGTTCAACATTAAAATAATTTTTTTCGATGGATTTTTGAGGTGCATCTGTAATAATTCTACATTTAAAAGTTGCAACCATATATAAACTTTTTCTTTTAAAATATTGGTGTAAACAAATGAATAAATCATTGGACTGTACTTGATTTCGGAGTTACTGCTCTTCTCAATCCAATTCCGTATTCGACGGTCACGCAAAGACTTCTTAAATACAACCATGTGATCGTGCCTCTAAGTCATTCTATTAATGTAATACTTTTAATGTTATTGACTTTTATTTTTTTTAGTATATACTATAAAAAAATGACAAAATGTAGTATGATCCTTATCGCGGCTGGACCGGACTGCCTAATCAGGCCACCGTTCAGTGCATAAGTCTGATTTAAAGAAAACATGAGAATTTGTTAAAAACTTAACATTTGACCTGATGAACTAACTGTTTTGATTTATTGGACTAACTAAGCAAAATGAGAATATATTTTATATTTTAAACTACTTTTCTTATTTTTCTTTTTTCTTTAAAAAATATCGTCCATTATTGAGTTTAATTAGTAGTGAGTTGGGCTTTGACTGGACCATAAGTTAACTGGTTCAATGGCTAGTTCGGTTTTAATAATAATGATTCATATGGACAACATGGTCATGTTGGATGGGTTGGATGGTGATACGGAGACCGTCAGGTACAAATGAGCAAGATCCAGTTTCTCATCACCATTTGACCAATTGATTGATTGGACGGTGATAGCCTTATGGTCTGTTTTCTATCATATCCATATATGAAGCACACCACACCAAAGCAGTAAATCTAAACTGAGAGGCTCTAAGCAGCTCTCTGACCTGAAGATACAACCTAAAGGGCCTTTTATAGGCCTCGGATTTCAAATCCGGATTTCAAAATAAAATAAGCAAACAGGGTCACGTGAACCCATGTGGATACAATGTAAAGTGGCTGACATGAATAGTGACAATATTGTGACACGTGGCCGACATGTACGGTGACATGATCTTTATCTTGAACAGTGATATGATCCTATCTTGAACGATGATGGATCATATTGTAATACAACGAAAAGAAAAAAGATTTCTAAATCAATCAATTGGGTTTGTATAGTATGATCCATATGGATCATAATAACTTAATGATCTCCATCCCATCAATGGGTTACATGGAAATGGCGTGGGGCCTTGGCGGTAGTATTGCCAAGTCCTATGATGAGGTCTCTAACTTCATTCTCATCAGGGCCCAAATACCTACAGCATTACCAACAAAATAAAACTTTTTTTTTTTTTTAATACAATTTTAATGAGGATGAAGTTTCTATAGGGCCTAAGCTCTATGAAATAAAATAAAACCTCACCTCAAATCCTCACCTAGGAAGTACTTTGTGCATCAGAAATATTTATAATGGTTCCAAAATCAATTTCCAACACCAACAATAAAATTTGAAACTCAAAAAAAGGTACATCTAATTAACACTTATTTTATGGTGAAAAGGAAAGTTTAGATGATTTGTTACAATATATGCTATTTTTAGAACTTAAAATCCTAAATTTTGTTTCACAACCATAATGTTCAAGTTTAGATGATCGATTTAAAGATTTTTCAATACTTGAATTGCAATTTTTGATGAGTTATGAGGTGCGGCTTTAATTATTTTGATAAGACTACAGCCCTATCAAACCATTTTCCTTTTAATAAAGGGTGCGGTTTGTATAGAGCCGAGGCTTTAAACAATCAAAGTAAAGCACATCTTCAGATAGTGTCGAGAAATATGGTTTCAATAATGGAAATCTTTGTGATAGCTTTAAAATATATTTTCATCTTTAACTATAAAATTTAAAGTTTAAAAAATAGTGTAGATCGAGCAGATCTATAAAAACTTGAAAATCTTGAAAATTGATGGTCGAAAAATTTTTGTTTGGAGGCACCTGTTATTACTGATAATTTATCACCGGAAAAAATGAATTTTAAGTTTTGAAAATAGTACATCTTGTAACACATTTTTGGTCCGTCAATTTTCAAGATTTTTATAAAATCTACTCAATTTACACTATTTTTGAAGTTTTAAATTTTATAATTGAAGATGAAAATATATTTTAAAGCCATCACAAATACTTTTAGTATTGAAACCACATTTTTTGACACTATATAAAGTTGTGGTTTACTTTGATTGTTTAGAACCTCGGCTCTATACAAACCGTACCCCTTCCCATAGCAATATTTCCTTAAAGCTTCTGCCCTAAGGGTCTGTTTGAAGGCATCTGTTATCACATATAATTTATTGTTGCAATCAATTACAGGTGCGCACACCATTGGCGTCTCTCACTGTACTCGAATCACAAATCGCATTTTCAACTTCGATCCAACCCTAAACAGGAACTATGCGATGCAATTGCAACAAATGTGCCCGAGAAATGTCGACCCGACGATCGCCATTAACATGGATCCAAACACCCCGAGAACCTTCGATAACATCTATTTCAAGAATTTACAACAAGGAATGGGTCTCTTCTCTTCAGATCAAGTTCTCTTTACTGATCCGCGATCACGAGCAACTGTGAATCAATTTGCAGCTAATAAACAAGCCTTTGAACAAGCTTTTGTGGCAGCCATTACTAAACTTGGGAGAGTTGGGGTCAAGACTGGGAATCAAGGTGAGATCAGGAGGGATTGTAGTAGATTTAATTGAGTGGGGGGTGTTGAATTTAATGTGCACTTTTGTGGAGAAATTTTTGGATTTTTTTAGTGAGAAAGATGAATGAGGAGAGTTTCTGATGTACTCATCATGTACAATAAGGTGTGGTTTATGTTGTTGAGCAATGGGCATTTTGGTGAATAAAACTTGATCCCTCTTTTGTTTGTGACAAGATTGCTTACTTTTTATTCACTAAAAGAAATTACAATACATTCATCAAAATAAAACAGATGAAACTAGCAACGAATCCAAGGAGACATCTTTCTTCGCTAATTCATCTGCAATCCCATTCGCCTCCCTATACACATGAAAAAGACCAAGACGATGTTAAATCCATAACCTGCAACGACATGAATCTAAAACACCAAGGTGGTCTCTCTCTCCTCTCCACCCTTCCTCCCCAGTCGCATATTAAGTCGTATCATTTAACCCCTAGTTTACATGCTGATGTATGTTTTTGGTCGCCATTAATAATGTACTTATGTGTGAGGTAGCCATTGTTGGATTTGGTGCAATTCAAACTTATCTAGATAAGAAAATCTCGTATTATGTGGGATTAAAATATTCTCATATTACATGGGATTGAGATATTTTCTTATTAGGTAAGATTGATGTTGATATTTGATAAGTTTCCTAAATGAAATAAAAAAAAAAAAACAATAGGATTCTTGGATATATCTTTTGGTCTTTTGCGATATATGTAACATCAATATGAAGTTTTTTATTTAGTGTGATTCCTATTCTTATATATAGGATGAAAGTGTAGAGAATTAGTGTGCTCTAGTTGGGTTACCATATGGGAATGGTGATTTTTTTAGAGAGAGAAGGGGGTTAGGTCTTTCTGTGCATAAGATGTAATTTCCTCTTAAGAAAAAGAGCTTCATATAGAGAGAAACATTGTAATTATATATGGAGAGAAACATTGTGATTATACATGTACCTCATAAAGATTGAGAGGGTTTTTTTTCGTAAAGAAGCGGTTCTGATGAAGATTTTGGGTTGTTTTCCTTTTTAGTTAGAGAGAAAGCCAGTTTTTCATTGCTCTCGTGTATCTATCTAGTGTTGTCGGTAATAATCTCTAGAAGTAAAGAGAAAGAATGAATATTGGTTTTAAAGGGTTTGCTCGACTCGGTTTTTATCGAGGGTTATAGAGGTAACTTTATGTTCAAAAATATTTGATGAAACTTTCATTGGTAAAGTGGATTTCAATTTACCGTGCCTGTGGATGTAGCCTTTTGAAGTAAACCACGTAAATATTTGTGTTCTTGTTTCATGTTTTATTTCATGTATTTTATCTGCAAAATATCAAACCGTCTTATTTATCAAAAAGCAATCCGTTGGGTTTAAAGCTTCCGCTCACATCGGTCATGACATTCTTCATGGGTAGTTTTACAGGAGAATGTCACGGGTAGTTTTATAGGAGTTTAGGAATGCCTCAAGGATAGTTGATTAGGATAGTGGAGCGCCACAATGTGTCATCATGAGTTTCATTAGATTAAAAAACCCCCTTAACTGAACTACTAAAAACAAAAAAGGAAAAAAAAGTTTTATAGAAGCCCTTTTATTTTAACTCACATTGAGAATAACAGTGAATTATGGAATCATGTCATAAAAGCTACCAACTCAATGTGTCTAGCAAGTAATCTTCTAATGTTTGATTAAGGTCAAGAGAGCCAGGCAATGAAGATATATTCGTAGTAAGGCTGAGAATAGATTAAGTCTAGATTTGGTGGACCTAGACACAAACCTCAGCCATTTAACTAAAGAAGAAGTTTATATATAGTTGAGGCTCTAAACAATCAAATTAGAGCCCACCTCAAAAAATTTACTAGAAGATGTTGCTTTGATGCTCAAATATCTTCAAATTGATCATCTCGGCATCAAGATGAATACACATGAGAAAAAAATAGATTTCAAGTTTTGGAAATAGTGCATCATGTAATGCATTTTTGGACTGTCAATCTTCAAGATTTCATAGATCTGCTTAATCTACTATTTTGGAAGCTTTAAATTTTATAATTAAATATGAAAATATATTTTAAGGGTATCACAAAGATTTCCAGTATTGAAACTACATTTTTCGACACTATTTAAAGGTGCACTTTACTTTGATTGTTTAGACTTTCGAGCTCTATACAAACCACACCCTTTAATTAAAGCATCGATCGGGTCCTAACCCGACCTATTTAGCTAAAAGGTGCAGTTGGAATACGAATGCATCCATAGGTGTAGAGGTAAGGTGTGCCTTCAAATTTTTATCATGGTATATAATTTTGATGTAAAATATTCTTAGGATTATCTCAAAATTTATTTTTATTTCTAATTATAAATTTTTAAATTTTAAAAATGGTTAAAATTAAGTAGATCTATAAACATATGAAAATATTAAAAATGGACGGTGTAGATAATATGTTGTAAAATGCACTATTTCTGAGACTTAAAAATCTTTTTATTTTTCATAGTCATATATCTTGATGTCGAGATGATCTATCAAATGGTCTTTCAACATTAAAACTACCTTTTCCGATGGATTTTTGAGGGGCATCCGTAGTTCTACATTATAAAGTTGCATCCTTATATAAACTTTTTCCTTAGCTAAATGGTGTACGTGGTCTTGGATGGGATGGGCTTGATCTAGTCCAATGGGTTTCCTAACTATTGGTTGTGGGTACTTGATTAGCCGGAGTGGACGATATCAACTATCATCAATGAAAGTGGAAAAAAAAAAAGAACAGTACTCGTGATTAAATCGTGTGTCCAAATTGGGTTACGTTCAGTTCAGGCTAGCCATGTCTCGAGCCTGGCCTAGAACAATGTGTGGTACGCCTAGACTTGACCCAGGCCCAAATTCATGATAACTGGGGCAAGCCCGTCAAAACATCCACGGTCTGGCCGAAGTTCATTAATAGCCCTACCCATGGGGAGCATACGGTAGCAAGTTCCCCTTAATTAGCATCCTATCCGTTGGCTTGTGGAGATAGAAGTGGCAACAGTTTCAATCGTTGGTTAGCCAAGCCCAACAAAAAATGAAGCTTCAACCTCAAACCTATACAACTTTGTTTTATGGGGTCACTCTGTGGGCAATTTCTGGATATGTCGAGTAGGTGCAACCTGTTTAGGGAAAAATCAAGAACACGGGAAAACAATTGCTTTTATTCTTCACCTTTAGGAGGTTTTGGAGCGTTTTGCAGTTTTTCCCAAATAAATAGGGCCGGACTTAGACGTGTTATAATAACTAGAATACCATAATATATCTCGGGTTCGGTGGTCCGCATATAGGGGCGGCAAAAGGTTGGGTCAGCTTGGACTCGAATCCAGACCCAAATAGTAATCTAATCCAGGTTTTGGCCCTGGGCCCGACTCGGGTTCAAAAGTTGGACCCATATCCATACTAGTCGGGTCCATTGCCACCCTCACTATACGTTTTTTTATTTTATTTTTTGCCATTTTTTTACCGTTATATACCCATATTATTGGCAAAAAGGTATTACTTGCCTTTAGATTTAAGCCGTCTGATTTGTCGTTTAATAGCTAAAGATGACTACAAATTATTATGGTCTATGATCCTTAATACACCCAAACGAATAGGGCTTGAAGGATTTTATCTCCAAAAGTTTACAGGTAAGGGCCGGGTCCAAATGTTGGACCCATAACCAGACCCATGTTGGCTATACCTGGTGGGTCCCAGATCAAGTCCGGGTCCATTGCTACCTAGGCATGTTTGTTTCTCACAAAAACACTTTTTATGGGGCACGATAAAGTTTGTCCACCAAGAGAGCTTTTCCATCCTGTTCTGGTGGTAGCATCCTCTCACTCTAATCACTATGTTGTGGTTTTCATTCTGACACCACCCCACTAACAGTTTAAAAAAACTAACTCCTAAACTATTTGAAAAAAATTGATAGGGTCATATCTTTCTCAATTAATTACCCAAAAAAAAAAAGAAAAAAAAAGAGCTTTTTCGTTAGCTTGAGAAACTGCATTCACACCTAAATATGTATTATTGAAGTTGCTTTCTCATAAAAATACATGGAGCGCTCGTGAAAAGCTGGGGAAGCACTTTCCCAGCTGCAACAACAACTATAACTTCCATCGAAAAGAAACATGGGAACTTGGTACTCGAGCTAGAAAAACTTTCTATCCTATGAAACAAATATGCCCTTAATTTCTTTAGTTTTAAGACTTACAATGTTTCGCGGAAAAATGTTTGGTAGCTTCCGCACCTGATTTCTCCATCATTTTGGACGGTTGATGACCCAAAACTAGTGTTATTAGGATTGTGCTGGATGTTGAAATGAGATTATTGGGTTAAGTCAAAATCGATTCAATCACTGATTAAACTAGTTTGAATAAATACAAGAAAAAAAAGAAAAAGAAAAAAAAAATTCGATAGAATAGTTTTAAAATATAAGATATATTAAAAGGGAGAGGCTTCTATGCTTTCTTTACACCATAGAAGTTATATCCTCCCCCTACCATCCAGCCATCCAATTTTGATAAAGAGAGCCACTCATCGTTTGATCTTAGATTTGACTTCTCAAAGTATTTTATTTTTATTTTTTTTATACAAATTATATGAATTTAAAATTTGGTACATGCCATCTTCTCATTAGGGCGCACCTATAAAAAATATTAAAAATAATTTTTTGATAAAATATAATGATCAAAATATCCCTTGAAACTTTCAAGGGTATTTTGGATATTTTATTTTATTGAAAATATTTTTTTTACATTTTTCGCTAGTGCAAGTTTAATAGAGGCATGGACGTCCAAAATTTGATGTCAAAATAATTTATAGTTAAAAATTTAAAAATAAATAGTGTAGAGACGTGACATTATGATTGGGATAATCTTAGCCCTCCATTCATAATGGATGGTTGGATAAAGGGGATGTTAGAACTTCTATATTGTAGGGGAAGCATAGAAAGCTTGCCCATATTAAAAGAATTTGCCAAACTTCATTTAGCTTGTCGAATTGGTAAAAAATCTCTAGTTCGACTAATCAACATTGATTTTGATCGGTTTTGACCAAACGTAGCTTTTATTTTGGACTTAGAGCCGTCAAAGCCGTGGTCGGCACTTTGACTGGTCGAACTACCAGTTAAGTCTGGTCTTCATAACTATGCCCAAAACTTTGCAAATTCAT